AGGCATGCGCCACCATGCCCAGCTAACTTTTATATTTTTAGTGGAGACAGGGTTTCACCATGTTGACCAGGATGGTCATGATCTCTTGACCTCGTGATCCACCCGCCTCGGCCTCCCAGAGTGCTGGGATTACAGGCGTGAGCCACCGCGCCCAGCCTTAGAGACATTCTTCAATACCTTCGTGTCCTTCTGCTATCAGACCTGGGAATCACAGAATGCTCTCCCTGAGCTGTCCATCAGAGGGCTCATCCAGTGTCTTTACTGCTGTTTTTAGACAGGGTCTCACTCTGTCACCCAGGCTGCAGTACAGTGGTGCAATCACAGCTCAATGCAGTTTCAACCTCCTGGGCTCAATCCATCTTCCCACCTCAGCCTCCAGAGTAGCTAGGACTACAGGTATGCACCACCACACCTGGCTAACTTTTCTTATTTTTTTTTTCTTACTTTTTAATTTTTTGTACAGACAGGGGACTCCCTATGTTGACCAAGCTGGTTTCAAACTTTCAAACTCCTAGCCTCAAGTGATCCTCCTGCCTTGGCCTCCCCAAATGTTAGGATTACAGGCATGAGCCACCATGCCCAGCCTACCCAATTTCTGCCATGATGTGTGGTCACCACAGAGCTGTACCCCATAGCCCAGGACCACCATGAGTTTAGAATGGCACAAGCCACAGGATATTTGCAAGTGGCAGAGTCAGCAGCCAGAGCCCAAACTTCTATCTGGTTCTCTAAGGGGCTGCGAGGTTTTCTGGTCATTTCCCTGTTCTCTCTGAAACCCTGGTAGCATCTGGAGATTAAGCTCCTGTCTCTCCCATCTTAGAGTAAGAGATTAGAAATAATATTCCGTGTTTGCGTAGAGTGTTCTAGCTGCAACACTCAAAGCCCTCGACAAACACCAGCTCCGCATCGCAGCAGTTCTCAGCTTGAGAGCTGTGTTTTTGCAGGAAATAGGAACGCACAGAATATGTCAGAGCCAAATATCAAAGTTAATCTATGACTAAGAAAAAAATAGAAAAATACTCCAACTCTAGGTTTCCTCATTCAGAAAACTGCAATTTCAAATCCACATCAAATATATATGATCCCTTAAAATTGTCTTTTCTTATATGTATTACCTCAATAATCACTCATAAATGCCTAGCTAAATCGCAATCCAGAATCAAATTTTATTTAAACCTAAATCATAAGGCTTTTTGTAAAAACTATAAACAAAGTCCCCGAATTATTCTAACTTCAATGCTAATAGGACCAAAAGATAAAAAGAAACAGATATTCTGGAACTTCCCTGGGATCTCCAGTTATCTTAGATGTGAAATTCTTTTTTTTCTTTTTTTTTTTTGAGACAGAGTCTCCCTCTTGTTGCCCAGGCTGGAGTACAATGATATGCTATTGGCTCACTGCAACCTCCACCTGCTGGGTTCAAGTGATTCTCCTGCCTCAGCCTCCCAAGTAGCTGGGATTACAGGCACACGCCGCCGTGCCTGGCTAGTTTTTGTATTTTTAGTAGACATCGGGTTTCACCATGTTGGCCAGGATTGTCTCTATCTCTTGACCTCATGATTCACCTGGCTTGGCCTCCCAAAGTGCTGAGATTACAGGCGTGAGCCACCAAGCCTGGCCAGATGTGAAATTCTTAAAGCCAAATTATTTTTGATTCATTTTAATCTCAAAGGCAGCAACATGACATATTATGTGTTTCATATTCCTGTTTAATTCGTGAGTTGTTAAGGCCAAGAAATGTGACTTGTTATTAAGGATGAAGGCCAATCATGGTGGCTGATGTCTGTAATCCCAGCACTTTGGGAAGCCCAGGCGGGCAGATCACATGAGGTCAGGAGTTTCAGACCAGCCTGGCCAGCATGGTGAAACTCCATCTCTACTAAAAATACAAAAATTAGCCAGGCGTGATGGCACATGCCTATAATCCCAGCTACTCGGGAGGATGAGATGGGAGAATCACTTGAACGCGGGAGGTGGAGGTTGCAGTGAGCTGAGATCATGCCACTGTACTCCACACTCCAGCCTGGGCAACAGAACAAGACTCTGTCTCAAAAAAAAAAAAAAAAAAAAGAATGAGAAATCTCAAAGGTGGCAACAGGAAGTGACATTTATTGAACTAGTCACATTCACACACATTTTCTCATGTAATTCCCAGACAAAACTGTGAGCTAGGGATCACCTCTATTTGATAGATGAAGAGACTGAGGGTCAGAGAGGTGAAGTGACTTCCCCAAGTTTATATAGTAGGCCTTTTGACCTCTACTCAGTTAATTCTTACCAGGGTCCACTTGAATAAGAAGTCCAAACTTGGCCTCCTTTGATAAGGTCAGAGTAAGGTTACAGAAAAGGAAGGAAAATCAGATAATAAGTCAAGATCTGAGATGAATTCATGAACTTATAACTGCCATTCCACGTTGCCAATGATACTTAGACTCTTGGGGAGATCACCCAGACCTCTAGGGCTAGCCTGACCCTTCCATAACAGGTCTGCTTCTTATTTTTCCTGGAAGTTCAGCTCCAGGGTTCTACCCAATGAGGTCTTCATGTTTGCTGAACTTTTTGTTGATCTAAAGCAGACATCAGCTATTGGAAACACATTGCTAGTTTAAGATGCCGGCCTTGGCAGACATTCCAGCATTATTTTCCTCAGGATCGTTACGGGGAAAAGAGAGCTAACCGCGTCTCAGCTACAGCAAAGCTGGGTCATTCAGACCTCTCATTGTCTTATTTGCATATACAGCAGTGCCCAGCTCAGGGCCTTATGATGTTATACCCAGGCGAGTTAGATGGAACAGCGCCACGCGCTTGAGTTTCAAATTATGAGTCCTTTATTTATTTATTTATTTATTTATTTATTTTTCAGATAGAGTCCCACTCCGTCACCAGGCGTCAGGCTGGAGTGCAGTGGCACGAACTCTGCTCACCGCAACCTCTGCCTCCCGGGTTCAAGCAATTCTTCTGCCTCAGCCTCCCGAGTAGCTGGGACTACAGGTGCGCACCACCATGCCCAGCTAATTTTTTTTGTATTTTTAGTAGAGACGGGATTTCACCATGTTGGCCAGGATGGTCTCACTCTCTTGCCCTCATGATCCACCCGCCTCGGCCTCCCAAATGCTGGTGTGAGCCACCGCGCCCTGCCGAGTCCCTTATTTTTAGCTGGTGACCGAGAGATGGCTAACACTCAAATTTCTCCCGGCCCCGAGGAAGGGATTTGATTATCTTTTATACCTTGATTTAGGTAGGGGAGGGGGAGCCTAGCTGGAGCAGAATTTACAGAAGCAGGACAGGCAAGTTAGATAAGGAAGGCTGGTAACTAGGAGGCAGCGGGTTCTTATGATTGTTGATTTTCATGGAGGATATATACAAGTGGTTCCCATGATTGCCAGTTACCCAGGGGGTTATTCAATACTTGTCATATAATCAGTCAAGGGGTGGGGGCATTCACAATGGCAAGTGGGCTTGCCAAGCAGGCTATAGTTACAAAGGTTATATGTTTCTATAGTTCTAAGTACGGTATGACCCAGCATAGTAGCAAGACCCAGGTATGCACGTAAGGGAAGAGTGGCAGGAGGAGTGAGGTGGAGGTCAAGATGGAGTCTGTCTGGCTCTCAGAAAAATGGAGTCTGTCTGGCTAACACAGGGTAGCTTAGCACAATGAGCCCGGAGGTGATACTGACTCTGGAGGCAGGGACTTGGACACCAGACCAGCTTGAGGACTAGCTAAACAGGGCCAGGCAGAAGTGGCTTTCCGTAAGACATGGCCGCCAGGGCTCCATGTCAGTTTACCATTGCCATGGCAATACCCGGAAGTTACCACCCTTTGCCATGGCAATGACCTGGAAGTTACCACCCTTATCCTAGACATTTCTGCATAAACTGCCCCTTAATTTGCATATAATTAAAGGTGAGTATAAATATACCTGCAGCTCACTTTTGAGCTGCTGGTCGGGCACACTGCCAGGCGGGTAGCCATGGTCTTTAGGGAGCAGTGTCTCTGCCGCTGCTGTCCTTGAATTCTTTCCTGGGTAAAGCCAGGTGGAGCCCTGGTTTTGGGGCTCAACTGCCCTGCATCACTTATACAGTGCAGAGTAGGCTCTCAGGAAATATGGAGTGAGTAAATTTGGCATTTATTGTCATAGTGATTATTTCTATGGAAACATCTAGGCAAAAGGGCCAACACTTGTGTCATTTCAAAAAAGGTCAGTTTTGGCCAAAACGGTGGCTCATGCCTGTAATCCCAGCGCTTTGGGAGGTGAAGGCAGGTGGATCAATGGAAGTCAGGAGTTCAAGGCCAGCCTGGCCAACATGGTGAAACTCTGTCTCTACTAAAAGTACAAAAATTAGCTGGGCTTGGTGGCAGGTGCCTGTAATCCAGCTACTCAGGAGGCTGAGGCATGAGAATCGCTTGAACCCAGGATGCAGCGGTTGCAGAGAGCCGAGATCTCACCGCTGCACTCCAGCCTGGGTGACACAGCAAGACTCTGTCTCAAAAAAAAAAGGTCAATTTCATTTTCCATTGCCTCTGAGGTGCTTTCCAAGTTTTCCTAACCTTGAATATGACGGTGCAGGATCTGAGGGGCTGGGGCAGTAAGTACTTTCTCATGTAGTTCTGGTGAGTCAGTGTTAACATTATATTTATCGTTTACGGGGTTTTGATTACCGTCTGGAAGTACAAAGGAGGAAGACAAACTAGTTTGCAAAATAAAATCAATAAAATAAAAATAGCTCCATGTAGAAGACTTCCTCTGGATGTCGCTGGATTTGTGCTTTATAAAGGTCTTTCTTTGGTTGAGAGGATAGAAGAGCAGTGTCTAAATATACCAGAGGAGAGCTATGGAAACAGAGGATAAGACAGGAGAATCAGCTAAAAAAAATCCCCACAAGTATCTCATTTGCATGCGCTGCCATGGAACATGCTTTTGTTCCAAGTACGTAGGATTTTTTCTCCAAGTGGATATGAATTAGAGAGCATTTTTTCAGTGTCTGGGAGGCAAAAGAGGAAAGAGGGAGAAATGGGCATTTTGTTTTCATTTTGTCTGAGGCACACAGGGATGATTGCTAAGAGTTACCAGTGGGTTTGCACAAATGTGAGAGCTTTTGGATAGCAGTGTTATTGGACTGCTATTCACTATTCAGGGGTTCACAACTTCTCCACCTTTTTGGGTTGTAGAACTTCTGTAAGAAGTCAAATTAAGCTCAGTCAAATTAAGTCAATTTAAATTAAATTAAAGCTCCTTGGGAGCTTTCCCTGACTTTCTTCCTGTCTCATTGTGTTTTTTTAAGCTCCACAGTGGTTTATATGTACATCCTTTGTGCTGTTTATCATGGTGATTATTTTTCGGTAACTAACACTGTGTCCTCTTCTTGCAGGTAGTGCTGTGTGTTGCTCTTTATATATCCAGGATCTAGCAGGGCACCTGGCCCATAGGCTCTCAATAAATCCTGGTGAATGGATGGAAGGTGGAATGGATCCTAACTTCATTCTCTCCTGAATTCTTTCTACACCAATTCCATCAGCTGTCCCGAAGGTTAAGGAATCAAAGCCTTAGATGACCAAGATTAGGAAATTATACAGGAACAGGACTAACAGGAGAACAAGACACGCTCCAAACTCTCCCTCCAGTCTAAGGCAAGGGAATGATTTCTCTACAGAAGCTGGACTTCCCCTAAAAGTGTTTAACCTTCCTCAGTTTCCTCATCTGCAAAGTTAGGAGGATAATAGAACCTCCCTTATAGGATGGCTGTGAAAATTCAATGGGATTATTCCCACGACACAGTCAGCATCATGCCTGGGCACTTAGTAAGTACTCAGTAAATCTGAGATATTATTAGCTGCTCTAGAACTAAGATCTGTGTAAAACACCAATGATAGCTTTTTTATAAATATGTATTTTATTTTGTTTTTCTTTTCTTTCTTTAATCCTTCAACTTTCTTTTATCCTTATAGCTTTAAAAATCATTTTTTTAAAGCATAAAAGTAACATTATGGCGGAGCTCAATGCTTCCTGTTCCAGGCAGCCTTCCCTGCTTGCCACCCAATGTTGTAAAATTGACCTTTCTTTTTTGCCCCAACATTGTCTGTGCCATAAAGCACTTATTAACTAACATCCACTGTAATGTTTCCCACACCCAATTCAATCTGTGCAAATGGATGCCGTGTTGACTATATCCTCTGTAGTTTTCTGGAATGTGAAGCTTCGTTTCTCCTGCTTTGGCTCCTCCTGTGATCTAGAAGCAGGGCTTAGTGTTCAGGGAGGAGGCTGCATGTGGCCAGAAAGACCCTGGCCAGGGGTTAAGAAACCCACATTCCAGCCGGTTGAGGATTGGACTCTTCTATCTCTATGAAACGGGTAATGATGTCTCTTTTCCTAAGTCAGGTGGCAGAGAGGTTTAAATGAGATAAACCTCATTTAGCGTTTGTGAATTAAACACCATTAAAGTATATTATTCTCGGTAGATATTGGAGACTCGGAAGAGTGGGAGGGTGGGCGGCGGGTGAGGGATGAGAAATCACCTAATGGGTACAATGTACATTAGTATTCAGATACATTCGAAGCCTAGACGTCACTACATAATATATTTGTGTAACAAAACTGCACTTGTACCTTACACACTTATGCCAAAAAAAGTCGATTATTCTCATTATTTCTGTTAAATGGGAACTTCTGTCAGCGGGCTGACTCTTCCAAGTGTCAATGTGCTCCATGCCTGTGGAGTTCTCCTGCTCAGTTTTGGGTGTTGTATTGATTTTTAGGATTTAATTCCACCTTGGTTTGAAGACACCCACCAGGCCTCTGGGATTCTGGTGGCACACTTTGTGGGAAGTCCTTTCCAAAGCTGTAGCTGACGACTGAGGGGCCCTCGGCTCCCACCCTTTTGTTGTCTAACGCTGTTCTCTTTGGCTGAAATGACTCCTTATTTTCAAAACCACAAGAAAAGTGAAAAGACCTACTATTCCCTGGACCCCTGCTTTATGTGAAAGGTTAGAGCTTCATCTCGGCCAGGCACAGTGGCACATGTCTGCCATCCCAGCACCTTGGGCTGACATCAGGGGTATGAGACTGGCCAACATGCCAAAACCCCATCTCTATTAAAAACACAAAAATTAGCTGGGTGTAGTGGCACGTGTCTGTTGTCCCAGCTGTTCAGAAGGCTGAGGCAGAAGAATCGCTTGAACCCAGGAGGTGGAGGCTGCAGCGAGCCAAGACCGAACCACTGCACTCCAGCCTGGGCAACAGAGTGAGACTCCAACTCAAAAACAAAAAAGAGCAGTGGGGGAAGGAGGCATGTGGGAAGTAAAGGTTTGTGTGTGTGTTTGATTTTTACTAACTTCTAAGCCTGTTTACACCTTAAGAGGAAAGTATGGGTTCTTTTCTCCCCTGCAAGCTCGATATAGGATTTCTTCTTGGCCTTTATCAACTCAAAATACTTCCCAATTCTACGGCCTATGAATTGCAAAAGTGGGTAAGTCACTGAGGAATGAGATGGGTGTATAGCAAGATATGTTTATTTAAATGGTATTTTAATATATACATTTCAAGCTTATTATTTTCTCCTGGATTTTTTTTTTTTTTTTTGAGGAGTCTCACTCTGTTGCCCAGACTGGAGTGCAGTATTGTGATCTCAGCTCACTGCAACCTCCGCCTCCCGGGTTCAATAGATTCTCCTGCCTCAGCCTCCTGAGTAGCTAGAACTACAGGCGAGCACCACCATGCCCTGCTAATTTTTGTATTTTTAGTAGAGACGGGGTTTCACCATGTTGGTCAGGCTGGTCTCAAACTCCTGACCTCAGGTGATCTACCCGCCTCGGCCTCCCAAAGTGCTGCGATTACAGGCATGAGCCACAGTGCCCGGCCTATTTTCTCCTGGATATTTTTATTTGCAAGTAAAACAATGTGCAGACCCGTTTCACAACTTGTTCTTATATCTATGATTGGAGAACCAGATGAGTAGAAAGCACTGAAAATCAGGATAGTTCTCTAACTCTGACTAAAGTTGTTGGGTGGGAGAACTCTGACGACATGAAAAGAAACCTTGCTGTTTCTTGTATCCATTGCTCCTTATAAAGCATTAGCAGAAATATCCTACCAGGAATATTTTAAATCTGTGGGGCAAATTAGGCAATATCTGGACATTCATTGAAAATACTTAGGTCGGGTACAGTGGCTCACACCTGTAATCCCAGCACTTTGGGAGGCCGAGGTGGGTGAATCACCTGAGGTCAGGAGTTCAAGACCAGCCTGGCCAACATTGTGAAACCCCATTTCTACCAAAAATACAAAAGTTAGCCGGCGTGGTGGCAGGCGCCTGTGATCCCAGCTACTCGGAAGGCTGAGGCACAAGAATCACTTGAACCTGGGATACGGAGGTTGCAGCGAGCCAAGATCATGCCACTGCCCTCCAGCCTGGCAACAGAAAGAGACAGTGTCTCAGATAAATAAGCAAATAAATATAAGAGCAAGTTAAATTTTTTAAAAATCACTAGCAAAATAAAAACACAAAATAAGGAATTAAACCCAATTTCTTTCTTTCTTTCTTTTTTTGATACAAACTCTTGCTCTGTTGCCCAGGCTGAAATGCAGTGGTGAGATCGTGGCTCACTGTAGCCTTTACCTCCTAGGTTCAAGCAATTCTCCTGCCTCAGCCTCCTGAGTAGCTGGGATAAACCAAACTTCTTTCCCACTGTCAAGTGTCAATATTTTCTCTTTGTAGATAACATATGCGAAACTGGGATTTGAATGGTATTATTTACTGACAATCCTAGAACAAACTCCTCTGGACACACTCCCCTGGGTTTAGGAAATAAGCTGTAGCCAAGTGAAAAGCAATGATCTCAGAAGAAAGCTGAAAATGATTCAAAATGCATTTTCAGTGATGTCAGGAAAACATGTATTCATTGTTTTGGGCTTCACTCTGTTCTGAAATTAACAATGGGCAGCCCCATTATTCCCTCATTTAGGGCTCAGTTCTTACTCGGAAGCAACAAGAGGTTTTAGAGGTAGATTCTACCCATGGAGGACTAGAGGAGACTAGGGAGGATGCAGCCCTGATTTTCCTACCCAGCTGCAGTTCCCTACCTGGGGGAAAGTGGTACATCTTGGAGGCTGTTTGTTCTTTTCTCTGAATGGTCCCAGGGCCCATCCCCAGGCCTTACAGCAGGAGAGTCACCTCCCCCTGCCTCATGACCAGCTCTACTGCCGGGAGCAACCACGCACAACAGTGCGTACCCAGGGGCTTCCAGGACCAGCTCCCCAACACCACAGAAAATAAAAGCCTCAGACCGTTGCCACACATCTCCCTGAGGAACATGCTATGCCCCCTTAAATCATTGTTTTTCCGATGGGAGCCTCTCTAAATAAAAAATAAGTGATTGGGTTGGCAGACACAATCACTTGGATTGAAATTTACCTGTTTGAGCCACACATTGGTCGTCATCAGCTGATTCTTTTCATCCTAAGAAAATGACAATTTGAAAAGTACTGTAAATCAAAGTGAAAGCAAGTTGTGGTTTTTCTTGTTGTTTTAGAAATGGAGTCTCAAGGATGCTGCCCAGGCTGGAGTGCCATGATGCCACCTTAGCTCACTGCAGCCTCACGCTCCAGGGCTCAAATGATCCTCCCGCCCCAATCCCCAAGGAGCTGGGACTATAGGTGCATGCCAACACACCCAGATGTTTTTTGTTTGTTTTTGATCAGAAAAATCTGAGTCTTACCTTTGAGGTGTTCCAAATCCAAAAGATTCTCAATTTATTTTTTATTTTATTTTTTGAGACAGAGTCTCGCTCTGTCGCCCAGGCTGGAGTGCAGTGGCACAATCTCGGCTCACTGCAACGTCCACCTCCTGGGTTCAAGTGATTCTCCTGCCTCAACCTCCTGAGTAGCTGGGATTACAGATGCACACCACCACGCCCAGCTAATTTTTTTGTATTTTTAGTAGAGACGGGGTTTCACCATGCTGGCCAGGCTGGTCTCAAACTCCTGACCTCAGGTGATCTATCTGCCTCGGCCTCCCAAAATTCTGGGATTACAAGCATGAGCCACTGCGCCTGGCCTAAGATTCTCAATTTAAAACAGTCAAATGGCATGCAAACAGTCAAATAACTTGCAGATTTTGCTTAAAATGAAAAAGAACTAAAACAAGTAGCAGTTAATTGCATAACCCAGAAGGCACTTTAAAGGTGCAAAGTAGGCCAGGCACAGTGGCTCACACTTGTAATCTCAGTACTTTGGGAGGCCAAAGCTGGTGGATCACCTGAGGTCAAGAGTTCGAGACCAGCCTGTCCAACAAAGCAAAACCCCGTCTCTACTAAAAATACAAAAAATAGCTAGA